CTGTCAGATGCCCTGTCGTTGGTCTCTTTTGCCACAGGGAACAATATCAAGTACCTGGATGTTTTGCAGCTGAAAAGGAGCTAATCTGAAATAGGTGCCAGATACCTTCCTTCCGCATAATGAGACCAGTGTCTTCCCATTACCTTCATTATCAAACAAAACCAATGTTCAGGTCCCTGAAGTGCTGAGCCAGCTGTCCACAGATTAAATTGGATGTCTTGGCCCTCCAGACCAGTCGTCTTGGCCCTCCAGGCCTGTTATTGCAAGAGTAGGGGGCAATGCCAGTGCTGGCTTATGTAGCAGTTGAGGAGCTGGATGCTGGGAAGTCAAATATATAGAGGGAGTCCCTCTTCGTATGGCTCTGGTTTTAAAATATCAAAGAAATCTTGGGGAAAAAATCTTCCGTGGAGGAGTCAAAAATTGTTCCACCAGAGCAGTGTAGGATGGCCTGTGTTTGGCAGGTGGATTCTTCTTCACTTTGGTGGCTGAAATCTGAGGGTAGCAGCCTCCAAAGCATCTGGGAATGCTGCACGCTAGCGCCAAGGCCGGGTGAACCGTGGACCAATGGCTCAAAAAATCTCTTTAGGAATGCTCTCTTGAGCACAGAGAATTTCATTTTGTCCTTCAAAACAAGTTTTGCAGTGTCAGGCATCTTTGACAGGAATAAAAGCAAGTCCGAGAAGATTCCCTTAGCCCTCTATCCTCTGCATCCTGCTTCTTTAAGATACCCCCTACATCTTCACAAGGGTACTGATGTAAAGGTCTCAAGCAAAGCTGGGGCAGAAAGTTGGGATTTGCTTTCCTTAAACTGTCAGGGCATTCCTGATCATCTTAAAGTCATGCTGTAGGCATGGTAAGAAGAAATTATAGAGCTCAAGTCTCTGGAATTGCTAAAAAAGACTAAATGTTTGCTTGTCCCTGTGTCTGTGGGCAATGCTAGAAGACTGCTTGAAAGATGAAGATGAGGTGTGTAGTGTATGCAGCTGTGGTACCAGGTGGTTGATACATGCCCCCTTGTGTTCATCAAATTTGTTCTGTTCCAGTGCTTCTTCCACTTCTTAGTATGTATATACCTGGATGCAAGTTGCAAAGTTACTCTGAAGAGCAGTCTAGACATGCTTCTTATTTTGGGCTTCTCTGGAAGGGTTTCCCTCTCTAGGCTTTGCGCTCCCTGCAGAGAAAGCGGCAGCGCAGGATGCAGGTGCTGCTGTGGTCAGTCTGTTAAAGCTGCCTGGTGTGCATCCCTCCTTGTCTCCTCTCTTAAAGTACTGCAGTTCCTCTAGTCTGCACAACCATCTTTCTGTAAATCTCTTAGGCTTACTGTAGCAGTTAAAATATTAAATGGATTTAAAATACTGAGTAAAAATGAAAAAGTGGGCAATTTACTTGAACAGCCTCCCAGGAATAGACTGTAGAGTGTTTGAAGACAAAAGTTCTCAAAAGAGAATCTGTCTGTGAAATAAAGGTAAAAATCATGGAGTTGCACATCTTAGAGACATTTTCTGATTAAATGTAGAAGTCTGCACTGGAGTTTTTAACATCAGATATTTTTTATTCCTGTTTATCCATTTTATTTAGAATTCATTTTAAGGAGCAGTCTTATTTAAGGAAAATCTTTGTCCTTGCAGACAGGAAAGACTTGAAACTTAAACACTGAAGCTGTTGTCCTAATGTGGTGAACCTAGTTGATTCCTTAACTGTTCTTTTCTCCTAAGCGGACACTGGTGGAGAAGCAGAAGCTGCTGACACAACAACATGAAGATGCAAAAGAACTGAAGGAAAACCTGGATCGTCGGGAGCGCATCGTGTTTGACATTTTGGCAAACTACCTGAGTGAGGAGAACTTAGCAGACTATGAGCACTTTGTAAAAATGAAGTCGGCCCTCATCATTGAGCAGCGGGAGCTTGAGGACAAGATCAAGCTGGGGGAAGAGCAACTCAAGTGTCTGACCGACAGCCTCCAGCCAGAGCGGCTCAAATAAGGGGGCTGCCTTTGACCAAGGACACGGAAAATGGGAAAGGAGAGAGAGGGGGGGAGATTTCCAAGTGTGCAAATGAGTGTCTTGGCTTGTCTCAGCTGGTCAGCACAAGCGTAGAAGAGAAAAATAGCTCGCAACAGCAATAATGCTCTCTTTCATTTTTGGGATGACGTATTTAATTTTTTTAGAACATGTTTTTATTGCTGGATTTTACAGCCATTCCTCATTGCTTAACTTACAGGAAGCTCGGCAGGAGAGGCGAGATGCTTAACCTTTCTGCTCGGTGTGTGGAGAGGCCGTGGCAGCTGTGCATGCAAACAGCAAGGTTTCTTAGAATAGGATGTGTACTTGCTTTATCCTCAGATGTTGGAAAGACTGTTGGGAAACTCAACAGCAAATTATGAATGCACACAAATTCTTCAGAACCTCCACAAGTAGTGGCTTTTTATTTTCTTTTTTTTTTTTAAAGACACATTAAATAGGGGAACTGTGCATCTTGTAGCTAATATATTCAGATTGCTGAAATGTAGTGTCACTCTGATCCTGTGGCATCAGACACTTTTTTTTTGTAATGTTGTATGTAAGATGGCACACTTTCCCCTTGCAGAAAATAAGTTTTAAATCAGTCCTAGTTAAACACTCATTAAACTGACTTGCAAATCACCTAATGTCTACATTGCTGAAGATTTTTAAAAAATATGTAAGAGAAAGAGAGAGAGTTGTAGGTCCTCTTATTGTAATACAATACAATTTTGCTTACCAAGTTGTACTTGATTTAAGAAACAGGCTGGAAGAACTGTGCTGATTTTGTTCAAAACATTTCTCATCTAAGTTATTTGGAAAACTCAATTGCTCTTTCTTGTGCTTGTTGTGTATGTTTTAATTCTCTCTCCAAAAAGATGCTACATTTTATGAAAATAAATGTCAGGTAAGGACACTGCTTGTGCTTTACTTCTGATTGCTTAACATTATGCTGGTTTTATATAGGTAGTTAAATTATATTGACGTTGACCCACATAATGCTGTTCCTTTCATCTGCTTCCTCCGACCACCAAATGCAATATAAACAGCTTTGCCAATGTAAACACCGTGCATTACTCGGAGCAAGTCTGCTTTGTAACTGTGAACGTACGTGCTTTTGGGGGTTGGTTTTTTATCACACAGCAATAAATGACAGGGTGCTGTTTCTCAGTATCAAAGTACTGGTCCTGCTCAGTGACACTGCCATTGAAGGGAAGCGGTAATTCCTAGCACCACGAAGAAGAGGTGCTAACACATGTCTTAGCATAGTGATAAGTGAAGTTGGCTTGCTCTGGTATCTACAGAGAAATTCTGTAGTGTCTAAACGTCATCTGCTATGTTAGGATAAAGTGGTATGGTCAACGGGAAATCTCGGATGACTTTGTGTATAGGCCATTTACATTGTAGTAAGGACCATTTATCTCCCCTTTAACTAATCAAGCCGGTGGCCCAACAGGAAACCATTTTTGAGGCTGATGTGAATGCCAGTCTGTAGCTAACCATACTGAAAATGCCAGTAATCAGGTGTTAAAAGCGGGGAGAGAGAAGAATTCTCCGTGCCATCCCTGCAGTGGCAGCTCTCTCGAAGGTTTGCTGTTCTTCTTGCCTGCATCATCTCCTGTGAGGGCCGGGAGCCAGGGGGGCCCCGCGCAGCGAGCGGGAGTTGCTCAGAACATCCTCGCCAGCCAGCTGCTCCACACACGGGTGCAAAAGTTCAAAGGATGCTTTTCCCCTGCTATAGTGCACTAACTCGTATACGTGGACCAAATCTTTGCTGAAATTACGCTGATGTGTATCAGTTGAAGTCAAGTGGAGCTACCGTTTTGTAGGAGCTGTAGCTGACCTCAGTTTTTTCCTCTTGGTTCCCAAATTTAGACATCTGGCGTCTCACAACTATTTGCTGCTATATTCCTAGTTCAAGTGATCCCTTTTATCGTTACACTCATCCCTTAAGCGTAACAGACCCAGAATTAAGTAACTCCCAAATAAATTATGCTTGTCTTTAGCTGGAAAAAGAGTGCATTGTTTTATCTGTGGCATTTTTAAAGTTTTACATATTGTGGTTATTCTGAAATGTGTATGTGAAATGTGAATAATAATATAATTGCAATGTGTTTGTATACAGTGCTTTGATTTAGGTCTTTCTGATAAAAGATAGCAATATTGCGAATGCTAAATATATATATATAATCCTTTTCACAGAACAGTTGCATAGTCACCGTTTTCTCCTTCCCTTTTTAAAACTGTGTTGAAAGTCTCTCATCCTGGGAACCTGAAGATGGTTGTTTCCCAATGTTATATGTAAATCTGTAAATAGCTCTACTGTTGCTTTTTGAGAAAATCTGGTGCTAATGTTTTGCCTTTGGCATCTTTGGGGATGGCTGTCTCTTTACCTTATGTTGTTCTCAATTTTCAATCTCTTTGTATAGTGAAATATTTCCACTGTGTTTCCCCACTTGCTTGGATTCTGCAGCCCAGAGTGAAAATGTGTACAGTTTTCCTGCTTGACACTTACCACCTACCTACTGACAAATGGTATTGCTTGACTTTGAAAAAATAAACTGTATATTTCAACGTACAGAGCTAGTGTATGTGTGGAGTTGTCCATGTTGAAGCCTGCAGTTTCACTGGGTGGCAGTAGCTGTCTCGTGGCGGGTAAAAAGAGTGTTTTTTTGCTTTTAAAGGCCAAGCCAGCTACCTGGTGGGCTGAGCTAGACTGCTCCCTCTTCACAGATTATTTAACTTGGGGATGCATCAGTGTAAGTCCCAGGCAAGTGTGGATGTCTACTCTTTGTTTATTTAATTATTGAAAGTGTGTAGTATGGCAGGATAGAAAGGAAGAACAGTTAGGAGATGGATAAAACTAATCAATCTCTTTTGTGAAATATGAAGTACACACCAGGGAAGGAATTGCGATTTTTCTCCTTGGGTAGCTATGCTGTTTTGGCTTTCTCTGTCATACGGTAGTTCATGTAGAAATACTCCAAGCCAGGGGTGTTTGTTGGGTGGTTTTTTTTTTTTTTTTTTTTTTTTTAAGAAAAAACAACAACAAGCAGATCCCGGTGAACCCTTCATTTCTAGCAGTCTTCCATAAAAGCTCTCGAATTTCAACTTACTGGAGGTTCTAGGATTTTGCTGTATCAGGAAACTGCCAAATATGCACAAATTTGTAGTAGACGTGACCACAGGTAACCTCCTGTGCCTTGAAAAATCATACAGAAAATCAGTTGTCTGTGAAGGACTTTATTTTAGGAACTATATAGGAAAAAGCAGCTAGGAAAACAATATCTTTAGTTTCAATTTTTGCATTTTTTTTTCTTTGTTGCCCCTCTATATGCACCCAGATGCTTGCTGTCCTGCACGTTTGGCTTAAAGCAGAGTGGCAGCCAGTAGGGAATGTCAATATACCTCTTACGTGCTGTTTAAAAAATTTGCTTTTCTTCAACTCAAATTTTCTTCTGTTTTAGGGCCTCAGATTTTCAAAGGAGTCACCTTATACTTTTTCACTATGTCTCTTGCCAATCAATATCTATTGATTAAAGCTTGTGTGCTCATCTCAGCTTTTACAGTTGAAGTAATCTGATGGCAATCCACTAGCTAACAGTGATGGCTGTGCAGCAAAATACTGCTTCCTATTTGGTGATGATGTTCTTTATTGCGGAAGCTTGTCATAGTTAAAAGCATCTCAGATGCTTTTATAGATAGTTTACAATAATATATCTACAAGCAGAGTAGGTAATAATCTTCTAAAATTGTTTAGCTTTAGGACACCACTCAATTACAGCTCTATAAGCCCATGGCCAAAGCGGTTGTGTTTTTACTGGGTACAAGGCTAATAAAATGCATTCATTCTCCTAGGTTAAAATTCTCAAAATCCTCACGCTTGTTTTGTTTGTAGGGACTTTGATGCCCCTCTGTCTTGGAGGCTGGTTGGATTCGTGTCTCGGATGTACCTTGTGCTGATGTCAGAAGTTAGAGTTTAATGGATCACTCAGCACCAACCAGATTTCTATCATGCATCCCTATCTGTGGAACTATTTTTATTTGCTCTTCATGATTGCTTATCTTGACATGGGGGGAATGTTTAATCAAAGCACGTGGATTTGTGATAGTGGAGCCAAAGATGTTGAGCAAGATGTTGAAAGATACAGAAGAGCAGCTATATTAAATATACTTACATTCAGTAAGAGACTGTTGAAGAGACCCCCAAATTCTAGATCTGGGTTTGTATAATTTCATGGGGTTATGGAAAGGAAGGATTTATTTCAGCATATTGTGACTATGCTATCTAGACCTTACTCATTCCAGGCAATCACTGGAAGAACAGTGTTAGCTCAGAAAAGCCCATGGTCTGACATACTTAACCAAGAGATTTTAGTTTGCTATTGCTCTTTGTGTTAGCATCACTTTCTAGCATTCTGATGGAGAAGCAATCTATAAACTGGAAAGCAATGTATAGCTGTTAAGAGTTGTCAAAACACTGTTTAGGTAAAGCTGAAAAACCCAAAAGTCTAATAGGAATTGGCAAAGTCCTCCTGACAGAGCTTTTGTTTCAGGTGTGAGTATTTTACTATCCAGCTAGCTTCATATTCTTTCTTTTTTTAAGTTAAGCTTGTGTCTTGACCTGACAGCCTCAGGGAAATACAAGTGCAATGAGCAACTGCAGGATAAATAGAAAACAATGGAAGATAAAGTTATCTCTGTATCTAAGTGTACAAGCGTGATTCTGCACGTAGCACTCAGGGGCACTCCCAGGAGTCACAGCTTCAGCAGCCTTCTCACTGGGATGTGGCTCCTTCCAAGATAAAAAGGGAAATCAAGGAGGGCAAGCTATGATGATCAGGGAGGCTAACGGAGGTCTGAAAGGGGTGGAACAAGTCTCTCTTTTCCCTTTTTTCCCTTTTTTCCCTTTTTTTTTCTCTCTCCTTTTTTTTTTTTAACATCAGTGAAACCAATCTCAAGGAAGTGAAGAACTAAGAAAACCTGAAATGATCTTTACCCAGCTGGAAGTAAAACC